TGTCTTCCAAGGGTTAACCTCCCATTACCGGGATATCACCACCCTCCACCAAAGGATTTCGGCTAACCTGTGGGTCAAACCCCCACAGTAGCCTTTACCTCCGTCCCACATCGGGGAAGGAGTCGTCTCCCCACTCCCATATAAGCCGAAGCACAATATGGAAGCAGTACCCAAGTAGCACACTGTGGTACTTGGGTACTGCTTCCATATTGTGCTTCGGCTTATATGGGAGTGGGGAGACGACTCCTTCCCCGATGTGGGACGGAGGTAAAGGCTACTGTGGGGGTTTGACCCACAGGTTAGCCGAAATCCTTTGGTGGAGGGTGGTGATATCCCGGTAATGGGAGGTTAACCCTTGGAAGACAGGGTCCCGGTAATGGGACAGGGTCTTCACAGAACTCTCCTAACTCGACAGCCCATTCAGCAACACGTCCCGATAGATCGGCTTTATGGAAGAGTGACTTCAGTGGTTGGTCAGTAAGTACTGTAATTTGGTGGGCTTGGAAGTAATGTTTGAGCTTTCTAGCCGAGCTAATTAGTGCTAGGGCAAGTTTTTTCAAAGGAGTATACCTCGATTCTGCATCTAAGAGCAACTTGCTCACATAGAAGATGGGTTTCAGTTTTGCACAATCATTCGTCATCAATGCCCCACTTACAACATGCTCTAATACAGCTAGATAAAGGTAAAGTTCTTCCTCAGGTGTCGGGGTCGATAGAATCGGTGGAGATGCTAAGTATGCCTTCAGATTTGTAAACGCCTCCTCACATTCCTGACTCCAAAATGCTCCATTCTTTCCTTGGATTGATTGAAAAAAGGGTATGAACTTATCAGATGCGCGGGATATGAATCTCCCGAGTGCTGCTGCCATTCCTGTTAGCCTCTGTACCTCTTTTACAGTCTGAGGGGATTGCAGTTCGGCAATGACCTTCACTTGCTCAGGATTCACCTTTATTCCTCGGCGAGTCACCAGAAATCCCAAGAACTTCCCCGAGCCAATCCCAAATGCGCATTTTGATGCATTTAATTTTATGTTGTACGTCTGTAGAACATTGAATGTTCTCTTGAGGTCGGCATAGTGGTTTGTGGCCTTCCGACTCTTCACTACCATGTCATCAATATAAACTTCTATTATATTACCTATCATGTGTGAAAATATTTTATTTACCAAGCTTTGGTATGTTGCTCCAGCATTCTTTAAACCGAATGACATTACTTTGTAACAGTACGTTCCATTTGGCGTAATGAAGGCAGTTTTTTCTTGATCTTCCTCTGCCAAGGGGATCTGATGATATCCCATGTAGGCATCCAGGAAGTTCATCTGCTGGTGTCTAGTAGTGGCATCTACCAACTAATCTATCTTCGGCAAAAGGAAGCTATCCTTTGGACATGCTTTGTTTAGGTCGATGAAGTCAACACAGTCCCGCCACTTTCTATTTTTCTTCTTTACTACAATAGTGTTTGACAACCAGGTCGGGTATTGTACTTTCCTAATTGTTTAGGATTCCAATAAACGTACTACTTCCTCCTTCACTGCTTCCTGATGTTGAGGCGCCGACCTCAGTTTTTTCTTGATTGGCTTGAAGCTCAGATCGACGTTCAACTGATGACATGCTACTTCGGACGGTACGTCGGGCATATCGGTAGTGGTCCATGCGAAAACGTCAGCATATTCTCGTAGAAGAGTGACGAGCTCAGTTTTCTGTTCGAGACTAAGAACAGTTCCTAACAAAAAGTATTTTTCATGATCCCCATCCTTGTCTAAAGGCACTTTAGTGAAGTCTTCGATTGTTCGGTCTGTAACTTCCTTTTCGGCGCCTAAACGTACTTTAGGGCCTTCCTCGACAGCCTGGTCAGTTGGTTTGACTGAGTTGTAAAATGTTAATTGTTATTTCGCCTCCTCGGACACTGAGCTCTTCTTGTGATCTTCAACCCTCTCTTTGGGTTTGACCGAGGCTAACAAACAAGTTTTGTCACTGACCTGGTCTCCTCGAATGTTTACTACTCTTTCAGCTGAAGGGAACCTCAGCATTTGATGGTACGTTGAGGGTACCGCCTTCATTGTGTGTAGTCAGGATCACCCCATTAGTGCATTATATGTCGAGACTGTATCCATTACCAGGAACTCAATCATGACACAAACTGGTCCTATCTTTATAGGCAATGTGATCTTCCCCTAGGAAGGACTATTTTGCCACTAAAGCTAATAAGTGGAGTATTTGAAGGCTTAAGATCCTTCTTCTTAAGTCCAAGCTTCTCAAATAGATCAGAATACATAATTTCTGATGAACTCCCTGGATCAATCAGTACCCTTTTTACATCAAAATTCGTAATCCGAAGCATAACAACTAGGATGTCGTTATGCTGTTGGTGAACTCCGACCAAGTCCTGTTCGGTGAAAGAGATTGCTTCGGCTGACTCTTCTATCTTGATTCTTTTGTTGGTTACCTTCGGGGTCAACCGCAACTCATAGACTTCTCTCTCGTTGGCAGCTTTTTGAATATAAGCCCGAGTAGAATTATTTGTGGACATTTGTGGGTTGGTGGCAGCATGGATCACATCAATCACTTATGTTGGAGTGTTATGGTCCCTTTTTGGCTTGGTCCTCCCTCCATCAGATTTTTGCGTACCTTCTATGAACTCGGCGAGATGTCCGGCCTGGACCAACTCCTCCAAATGCTGCTTCAAAGATTGGCTGTTCTCAGTCATATGGCCACATCCCTGTGACATGAACACCTGAAGTTTGGATTCTTTTTAGAAGGATCTCCTATTAACTTGTTCGACTATTTGAAAAATGGCTTTGTCTTGATCTGGCTTAGTATTTTGTATATGGGTTCCTTGAACAATGTATTTACCCCTAGAAATAGGGATTTTTGAGGATATCCATCCTTCTCATTCTTCCTTCCTCCCTCTCTGTTTGGCTCGGTCTGCTTGTCCCCGTCGAACTGTCTCTTGGTTGGATGCTCTTTAACCCAGTCCCTGGAAAAGTCGTCTTCAACTTTGGCATACTTTTCAATCCTTGACATCAGCTCTTCCAGATCCATGGATGGCTTTCTTGTGAGCGACTGATATAGGGGGTTTTTCTTCGACAACCTGATCTTGAAGGATGCAATTGCAATCTCTAGATTGCACCCTTCGACCTCATTCATAGTTTCCCAATAACGATAAGCGTACTCTCGCAGGCTTTCGTTACTATTCTTCTTTAGTGTCAATAGTGCTCCAATATCCTTCGGCTGCTTACTGCTCGTTATGAACCGAGCTGTGAACTACTCGGCTAATTGAGACCACCCGTCGATCATTCCCTTCGGTAGGCTATCAAACCACTTCATGTCTGACTCTCCAAGACTGCTAGGGAATATAGTGCAAAGTAGGGGCTCATTTTTTCGATGAATGGTCATCAACTATCTGTAATGTCTGATGTGCGAGGCTGGGTCGGTCTTCCCGTCATATAGTTTGAAGTTTAGGACGGTGAATTTGCTCGAAATCTGTCCCTTCTCGATCCAAACTGTAAATGGAGATGACTCCAAATCATCTCCATATTCTCTTGTTGCTCTTCTGGCTAGGTTCCTAGCCGACCTCTATTCTGGTCTCCTCAAGCGGTTGTTGAGTTCCTCGGTAATATACTATTTCCATGCAACCTCCTCCTGAACCCGAGATTTCTTCTGCTAGTGACGATTTTCATTGTTGCTTCTGATTCTGTCGGGCTTCCTTTCAGGACTTTCCCAACAGTTTTCCCTCGTAAGTTTCTCTTTCTTGGTCATCTCTTTTATCCTAGTTTTCAACTCTTCGTTTTCTTTGATCAGATTTTTTTCCTTAGCATAAGATTTCTTGAACAACTTGTCATGAGCATCAAGTCTATCCTGCAGGGACTGAACCAACTTTGCCAGGGAGTGGTTTTCCCCCTCGGCGTGGAGTGATTCATCACAATCTTCAATTTGATGGTTCTGATTTTTCGAGGGCCTGAAACTGACAAAGGATATCTCTTCGCCATCATGGGATCTAGATGGGCTTCTTCTTACTTGTAACTGCACGTTGCTATAAAGAGGAATGGATGCAGGATCAGAGTCTCCCAAGGCGAAACTGCCTCTAGGTGATCCAATTGTGCTTCTCAGTTTAGACATTGAGGCTTTTTGTTGCAAAAAATGGAAATTTTTCCACAGACGGCGCCAAATGTAAGAGACAAAAAATTGAGAATACCTCTCACAGGAATTGAAAATTTGATGTGTTTATGAACTCAATCTCCTAGTCTTCTCTTGCCTACAAAACAAACAAATTGCCCAAAATCGAAGTGCTTTGATCGAAGGCACTCCGATGCTTAAGTCAGTAAAGATATTGGAACGAATGGAAGAAGACCAATAGAGTTCCGTGTACCTTTTCACCTTGGATTCCTCTGTTTTTTATAGATGGTCCTCCCGTTAGGGTTTCCGTGATTTTTGATTCAAGGTGACACACCTTCCTTTAATTCAGTAATTCGGTTTGGGAAGTTGATGATATTTCTCCAATATTTTCTTCTGATATCTTCAATTTCTCTGATTAGTTTATCTGATTGCCTAAGTTATAAGCATATCTTTATCTTTCTATCTATCATTTGAAATAGTTCGAATATATCGGATGCCGAGTACACTCGATGTTTGCCGAACAGATTAAGGGACTTGGTTTAGCACAAACCAACCTCTTCAATCGATTTGCCGAACACTTTAACGGGTTCGGCTTGGTACAAATCGAGCTCTTTTCTTGCTTAGCTGAATCAGATTGATGAGCTCAGTTATAAAGAGAACCGAACTCTTTCTTTCTTTGCCGAACCTATCGATCAGCACGTCTCGGTTTATAAGGCAGTATGAATGATTTCTCCGTCATGTGATCTGTCTTGTCAACCTCACGTGGGTTTCATTTAATGTCATTACATGTGTAATGATGAGAACTAACCCCTTCATATATATACACTAAAACAACATTTTTTATCTCAATTTCAGCATTATGTTTGCAGGAAGATATCAAAATCATGACGAAACTGGGTGTAAATGCCTACAGGTTCTCAATTGCATGGCCTAGGGTATTACCTTGTAAGTGTACCATTATCACTACACATGGACTAGGAACCCAATTAATGAGATCTAGATCAATCCTATGGACTGTGTTTTCTCTACAATCTTCATGATATCACTCATCATGTATTAGTAAAAAGTTACTTCTATATAGTGGGTCACACTTCAATTCACAACGGATGATCTAAGCTTGAAGAAAATTGAAGAAAAATATAATAAAAGAGATTCAAACTTCTTAAATATTTAGCACAAACATACGATGAATTGGAGTTCTTGTGAAACTTCCAATAGATGCGGCCATAGTTCGATTCTCTTATATATGTTTTTTTTCGTTTGTTTTGCTCTTTGCGTTATTTAATTTCCTGCAATTATCAGGTGGAAAACTAAATGGAGGTGTGAACAAAGAATGAATCAAATACTATAACGACCTCATCGACGAGCTCTTGGCCAATGGTTACGATTATGCTAGCTTGGATCTTTAATTATCAATTAAAAGTTCAATGTGTATACATACATTTTCATCTCAAGGTTTTAACTCTGTTGTACCATCCTCTGCACAGGTATAGAGCCCTATGTGACCATTTTCCATTGGGATCTTCCTCAATGTTTAGAAGATGAGTATCAAGGTTTCCTAAGCCCTAAAATTGTGTAAGTAACTCTTTATGATCCATCATTTTAATTATTTAATTGATTAAAATTTTTCATATATAATAACGAAAGTTGTTCGCATTCATTAAAAAAAAACTCAGTGCATGAACCTCCCGCCATTACGGACGAAGTCTAAGAACTATCAAATATATGTAAACTTTATTTGATCAAAGAGATGAATAAAACCCTAATTTCAAGAACTAGAATAATCATGATTTTCACATACTCAAAATAATCATAATACGACATTAAAACATCATAATTAAAATACCTGGAGTCGTTATTACAAACATTGAATTACTTGACCAAGAATTGAACTATCCTTTACTCTTATGATAAACAACTTAATGAATATGTGTATATTTATAGGTAGAGAGAGGACTGATTCTCTAGTTTAACATAAACTCCACTTTTCATCAAAATAGGATATTAGAAAATCACTTTTTTTCATTGACCAATTAAAAACTATTAGTTATACCGATTAAACTAGAATTAGTAATCTCATCATTATCTAACCTAAATTAATTACTTAATAATAATCAATAAAATCACATGTGTCAAATCATGTGAGCCACATTAATTCTCATAATATACACAGCATCACGACGTCTCGTGGAGAGACTGTTTCAAAAATTTCTTCATACATATTTTGCAGAGTAACTTTTCTCTTATTGGCCTAAGAAAAGGGAACGGAAACAGACTTGTTAAAGATAAAATAAGAAGCATGTTCCCATGTTCCTTTCATGGGCAAATTACACTTCGATACCGTAAACTTTGATCGTAACATCATATTTTCTCCTCACCCATAAATTTTTGGTATTTTACCTTCAACTATGATGGCTAGTCTCACAGTACGCACAATTCCATATATCTCTTATTTTTTGCATAGAAGATTTTGCGATATCGCAAAATCAAATGGCACAGTTACTGGGTAATATGATATGCACTTTTGTCATTTTTCTTCAAATGCTAATAGCTGTTAGATATTTCATTGACTGAGGAAAGTAACTTACTTTGACTTTATCGGGAATTATTCACTCATATGAAACTAAACTTGCAATGCATATATATGAAACAAGTGTTAAGGTTGATAACCGGCCAGCTCAAATAGGCCAGTGGTGTAATGTGGGTAACTTGCTGATGTATATCTCTGGTTTAACCGATACTTTGTTAGCGCGATTGCATATATTTGTAGTTACTCTTTAAGGGTGGTGAGAAGTACTTGAGACACGATTGAGTTTTTCTTATGTCAATTTGCTTAATACATAGGGATGATTTTCGTGATTACGCGAAACTTTGCGTTTGGGAATTCGGTGATCGTGTGAAGAAGTGGGCAACATTAAATGAGCCAACGACCTACATCATTAGTGGTTATGTACTTGGTAAATTCCCACCAGGTCGAGGTATCACAGTGGGGGATCCAGGCAGAGAACCATACTGTGTTGCACACAACCTACTCCTTGCTCATGCAGGTGCTGTGACATTATACAGGGAAAATTTTCAGGTTTTAATTCGAGCCTATTAAAATTTAATTTGTAGTTGATTAACATATTCAACTATATATCGATTTATAACAGTTCTTTACGTATTATTTATTTTTCTTTTTATTTTTATGTACTTTTTTAGATAGCGTTTTTTTTTTTAACATTTTACTTTTTTTTTTGTTTTCTTGTCCAGACTTGCACCATTGCTCTAAGCTTAATCACTTTGTGTATGCAGGTATGATTGTGTATATGTATATGTATATATATATATATACACTTATGTTTTATTATTATTTTTACAAAGTTGTTTAATATACATCATACTATGACGAAACTATTTTTTTGCTTAAATAAAAATAAGAGAAAAAATGTAACCTAATGCTACATTAGTTTTTGCTAATGTGTTTTTTTATGGTATGTTAAGAAAAGGTCAAGAATTATTTGTTGGTGTATTATAAATTATTTGACAAAGCTTTTCATAGAAATTGAGATTGATTACGTGTCATATGTATGCAGAGCACTCAAAAAGGAAAGATTGGGTCGTACTGGCGACAATGTGGGCGGAGTCTTTCCATCCGAAGGATGATAGCCACATTAAAGCTGCATTGCGAGCCCTTGATTTTGGGATTGGATGGTGAGTATACCATGCAAATGAAAAATACATATGTAGCATTAGTTAGTGTCCGAGGCTATAATTGTTAAACAAATCGAGCAATTCAGGTTACTAGCGCAAAAATAAGTGGAGTTGAGTCAACCTGAAAATAAGCAACCCATTGGGCAATTAAGTTTGCAGATCTAGGCATATTGAACATTGTGCCGAACCATGTTAATTCTCTGTGTCTTACACCTCTCTCTGGAACCTCAAAAAATGTTAGACTAAGGTGGTATTTAATAAAACTGAAAAATGAAGTCTAAAAACTGAAAAACTTATTTCTGAAAGTTGAATACTAAATTTGTGGACTGTTTAGTATTTACTGAAATTTAAGTACTGAATTGAACTAAACTGGTTGATAACTACACAGAGCTGACGTCTGAAAATAAATTTATTTTCAATTTTACCGTTCCACTCATTAATTTGAAAATATTTATAAAATATGTCATAACATAAATCATAATCACTATTATTATATTATAGTCGACATTTAACAAATATTTGATTAAAATAAATAAATAACATCTGAATAACACAATATGTTAACAATAACAAATTGAATACCATAATAAGTGAACAATAACATCTGATAAAAAAAAAATACAATAACTAATAAATAATCAAATAATATTGAAAAAATACAATAAATTAGATTTCATTAACAATATGTGTGTGCAGTGTATATGTCTGTGTGTAATTGTGTGTGCAGTGTGTTCGTTTGTGTGTATAATTATAATTATGTATGTATATTTTTGTTATAGAAGACGAGATAAAGAAAAAAAAAAAGATCGACAAGGATAATATAGGTTAGGGGTTTTTAAGAGAAAACTAATTAGAGTTTTAATGGGATTGTAAAATATTTCAGAGTGTAATTGTTATATTGTAAATATTATTAAAGATGGTTTACCTGAGCGCTTTCAGTTTTCAGGATTAAGTAAGAGATCTCCTACTTAATATTATAACCTATTTTTAAGGAGCACTTAACATATTAAGAGAGTTTAAATTTTAGTTATCAAATAGACTTAATTAATAAATACTGAACACATTTATTTTAAGTGCTTAATTTGGGTAAATTCAATCAAACGTATGCTTAGAATTTTTAACTTGGGTTGAACTTAGATTACACAACCAGATTTCAATTTGGGTTTTATTTTTGAGCTCCACAACTTGGGCCATAAGTTTGGTTTACCTGAGGTTGAACCTAATTTGAGTTACACAATTTGGGAAAAGACTTCAAGTTGTGAAATTCGAATTCATTACTTCGGGTTGGTTATCAAGAACCTAGATTCCCAACCTGAATACTACCCTAATTTAAGCTGCATTGGAATTTTTTTTTTTATCAAAGGCCAACTTATATATTGAAAATCTCTAGCGAAATACTGAATATTTCAGGTGGAAAACCAAGTCCCACTCTTGTAGACGTAGTTTCCTGCTTTTAAAGTGTAAGAAATACATTAATTGTATGTTTTAATGATGATTTTTTTTTCTGATGATTTATGTTTAAGGTTTATGGAACCCATAACAACGGGACAATATCCGGCAAGTATGATAAAATATGTAGAAGATCGTCTTCCAACTTTCAAAACATCGGAATCAAGGCAGCTCATTGGATCATGTGATTTTGTGGGAATAAACTACTATACTGCTAAATATATAATCAATGCATCCAGTACCCCTGAACGTCCAAGTTATATCACAGATGGTCATTTTGGTTATGCCAGTAAGTTCAAAACCACTTCATTTGTAATATCTAATTACAAACTTTATTTTGACTTAATACTAAAATGACTACAATGTTTTGTTTTGCTAGGTACACCCATTGGTCCACTGGTATTGCCTTCTAATTCAACCAGTTCTGTGTGTTTGTGAGTTGTAGTCGTATCAAAGTAGTAAGATCACAATAGTCTAACTTAAATAATAATAAAGACGAGTTATAAACCGAGACGTTCTGAATCTTGTTTAAATATACAGTACAAGATCATTTGCTACTAGTATACGATGTGACATAAGTGCTTTAAATCTTGTTAAAACTATGCTAAACATATATCAACTTCAAATGTCTAACTTGATAATTTTTTATTATTGCAGAATGGTTCAACTTGGATCAATGTGTATCCAATAGGGCTTTATAAGTTATTGACTTACATACAGAAAACATATAATGATCCACTTCTTTACGTGACAGAGAATGGTATTCGATCAATTTTAATTGCTTCTTTCAAAATTAAGCTCTCTTTTGATTTCCAAATAATTGGTGAATTTTGAATTTCAAATGAAGAAATTAAACTAACTTCATTTTTTTATTGGACTTGATCAACCAAATGATCTCATACCTGTCACAGAAGCTCGAAAGGATAAGTGGAGGACTGAATATCTGCAAGACCATCTCTTATACATTCAACTAGCATTGGAGTAAGTTCTTGAAAGAAACTCCCCTCTCTCTCTACCCTCCTTTTCTCCTACACAATTTACATGCATATGTATGCTTATTTTTTTCTCTATAAATTATGTTTTGTTTCCCTCAACTATAACCCCAATCTCATTTTATCCCCTAGCCTATAAAGTTTCTCGTATTATCTCCTTGTCCTCTTGAATTGGTTTTATATTCCCCCCCCCCCCCAGAGCTTATTGTTTATTATTGAGTGAAATATATCCAAATCTGCAATACGATACACACTTCCAATATCTTCAACTGGAGTAATGTGAAACCAATAACTATGGGTCCAAATGCAATGTAAAAACATGATAATTTAGAGGGCAATATGAAACCAGTAGATATCACTGAGTATGTAATGTGAGAAACATGATAGTTGATGGGCAATATGAGACATGGGTTAGCTCAGGAGATCAAAAGTATAGTTATTTTCCTTGTTTACATCAAACATTGTGTACTGAAGAGAGTAACCAATGTCATTAATTTGTTCTCTTAAGCAGCCCTAACCAAAAATAAGAGTAAACTGATCAAAAATAATGTTTGCCCTCTCTCTCTCTCTCTCTTAAACAAAAAATAAATGAATACAAATATTGTTTAAATTATTAAATTATTTAATAATTCGTTCCTTGCTCATAGTGTTGAATAATTAAAATATTGTTTCTCTTTAGGTGTTTACTCCTTTATTAATAGTGTAGATTAATTTAATTGTAATGCTAATAGAATTGCAAATAAAAAAAATGGCATATTTGTATGTGATTTTGTGTACAGAGTTGGTGTTAAAGTGAAAGGATACTTTGCATGGTCGTTGTTGGACAACTTTGAATGGGATTCGGGTTACACCTCTCGATTTGGGATCATCCATATAGATTACAGCAATGGGCTAGCAAGATACCCAAAAGAATCTGCCTTGTGGTACATGAATTTTCTTCACTATGCCCCAACCAAGAGACAAATTGAAGAAAGTGATGAGATAGATCAAGGCCCATTGAAAAAATTGAAGATGTGAAAAAATAAAATATGGGTATTATGTACTTTAATTTCTCTAATAAGGTCTATTTAAATGTGTGTTTAATCTTAAATTAAGGGGTATGGTAATTAAAGTTAGAATAAATCCACCCTGATCAAGGCTGGGGTGTGTGTTTCTAGTTGGGGAGAAGGCTACCTCCCATTGTGTAGCCAATTTCGTTTATTGGAAAATAAATAATATTGGAAAAACTCATAGTGGTTGCAAAGTTGTGAACTATTCGACCATTGTAGTTGATCAGTTTTTTAAGGTAAGAAAAATTACACTTGGACTCCTTCAACTATTTATGGTCACTGTCTCATATTAATTCATCTGCTATCATATTTCTCACATTACAACTCAACGGCGGAGTTTGATTCTGATCATATTAACTCCAATGTAAACATTTGTTATAAAATCGACAAAAAAATTTTATCACTTTGCTCACGGCATGAACTTTCGAGAAAACAGTGTCGCATGCTCATTTTGTTTGTTTTTTGACAAATTTATATACAGTTGTTCAAATCTGATGATCGAAATACAAATCGAGTCTATTGCTCATAGTCTTATGTGAACTAGGAACACCATTTTACCTATGTGTCAGTCCACAACTAAAAATAAAGTACCATCAAGATGACTCAGATTTGGATCCCCCTCTCCCATCAATGGGTCATCATGGTTAAAAAACAAAACTAAAGTAGTTTAGTGTACTATTTGGAAAAAGTCATATCTGTTCAGTTTAATCCCATATACGTGGAGAGTTTTTTTTTGTGACATGAACTCGTAACTATCACGTGATAACGAAACAACTCTTTTGTCTCATTCTTAAACTCTTGTCGGACCACAAATGGAGAACTTGGTCTGCACAAGCTTTGAAGTTATTATACATATTAATTGCTAGAGCGAGGGTTTCCTACAATGATTTGTGTGTGGTGGTGGGGGAGGGGGTGTCCCTCTTGGTCTGCATGTAGCTTCATCCTTCTCACTGTTGTGGATATTATTGTGCAGCTAAAGTATCATTGTTGGACCACATGCACCCATGTTTGTGTGAACACAAACCCACAAAATTTATTCACATTTTTCATTTATAAATAGGAAAATATTATGTATCCCTAATTTCTATCCCAAATCTCTATTCCAAATGAAGGGGCATCATTGGATGAGTGGGTCCTATCAATTTTTTTAAATAGAATTCACTGATCCAATGATCCTCCTTGATTTGAGATGAAATTTTGGTATAAAAATTTGGGATACATAGCTGTGCATGCAGGATCTTGCATTTGGGATACATAGTTGTGCGTGATTTGCATTTGTCTAAGGAGCGTGAGACGAAACGGTTGAGTGTTGCTAGCATCCCCGTGAGCTTCTGGACTTCTCGGACAGTTCGGGGGCTTTGGATGTCCAGAATCGTTTGAATCTGATCCGGGTTAGCTTCGATTCCTCATTGGATGACCAGATATCCGAGAAATTTACCCGATCCCACTCCGAAAACGCACTTTGCCGCGTTCAGCTTCAGCCCGTACTCCCTGAGGGTGGAGAAGGTATCGGCCAAATCTGCCAGATGATCACGACTTCGTTTGCTCTTTACCAGCATATCGTCGATGTAGACCTCCATGGTGTTGCCGATCTACTTTTTGAACATCCAATTCATCAGTCTTTGGTACGTCGCCCCAGCGTTCTTTAGTCCAAACGGCATCACTTTGTAACAGTAGACTCCTTTCGGAGTGATAAACGCCATTTTTTCCTGATCTGGGGGATGGAGAGGGATCTGGTGATATCCCGCTCGGGCATCCAGGAAGTCCATGCGTTCATATCCGACAGTGGTATCCACTAGCTGGTCCACCTTTGGTAGGGGGTAGTCATCCTTGGGACATGCCTTGTTTAGGTCTGTGAAGTCCACGCAGACACGCCATTTTCCCCCCTTCTTCTTTGCGCAAACCGTATTAGATAGCCATTCTGGGAACTGTATCTCCCAAATGGCGTTGGCCTTCACGAGTTTGTCGATTTCTTCGTTGACCGCGCAGGCATGTTGCGGGGCCATGCGTCGCGGCTTTTGTTTGACTGGCTTGTGCGTTGGGCCAACATGCAGCTTGTGCGTGATTATCTCGGGGTCTACCCCCGTTATCTCCATTGCGTTCCAAGCGAACACGTCTGCATTTCCCCTCAGGAACTCAATCATTTCCTCCTGTTCGGCTGTGGGCATTGCAGTTCCAACTAAGAAATATCTTTCTTTTTCTCCCTCCGTCAAGAGTACCTTCCGGAGGTCTTCCACCGACCGCTCAGTTGGGTCTATCCGGGGGTCATCCATTCCTAACAACAGGAGACCTCCCGGAATGTTCAAAAGAAGCAAGAAAGATAAAACTCAAAGCCCCGAGATTTTGGGTCTCCCCGGACCAGAAGCTGTATCGGAGGTCTTTCTCAGGACCTTACTTGTTATGCGTCCAAAAAGACCAGGTGGAAGACCTTCTCTATGAGGTACACGAAGGAATATGCGGGGGGCACTCTGGGGAGTGATCGATGGCACACCGCATCATGTCTCAAGGATATTGGTGGCCGCGGATGCAAAAGGATGCGCGTACATACGTCCAGAAATGCGACCAATGTCAGAGGTTCTCCCCTGCAATCAGGCAACCCGCGGGGAACTTGCACCCCCTGACCAGCCCTTGGCCATTCGCCCAGTGGGAACTCGACTTAGTTGGGCCCCTGCCCAAGGCTCCTGGAAACAGGAAGTTCCTCATTGTGGCCACAGATTATTTCACCAAGTGGGTTAAAGCGGAGCCGTTGACTCACATCCGTGACATAGATGCTAAGAAGTTCGTCTGTGAGAACATAGTCGTCAGATTCGGGATTCCCCGGGCACTGGTATCAGATAACGGGACTCAGTTCACCGGCGAGCGTTTCAAGTCTTTTTGTGAGCAACTCGAAATCCGTAATTTCTACTCCACCCCTGCCTACCCTCAAGCCAACGGGCAGGCAGAAGCCTCCAACAAAACAATTATCAGTGGAATCAAGAAGAGGTTGGAGAAGGCCAAGGGAAAGTGGGCAGATGAGTTATTAAACATTTTATGGGTGTACAGGACCACCCCTCGGTCCTCGACTGGAGAAACCCCATACTCCCTGGCTTACGGGATGGAAGTCATCGTACCTCTTGAGGTAGGACTTCCGACAATAAGGACCCAAGCTTTCGACACGGGAGGAAATGACCGTCAATTGGGGATTGATCTGGATCTGGTGGAAGAGAAAAGAGAGACAGCCGCCTTAAGCATAACCAAGTACCAGGAAAAGATTTCCCAACTATACAACAAAAAGGTCAAAGCGCGAGAATTCTGAATCGGCGATCTAGTCTTCAGAAGGGTAACGGCCAATACCCGTGACCCAACAGAAGGAAAAATGGGACCTAACTGGGAAGGGCCTTATAAAGTGATATCTATCGGGGGCACCAGGTCATACAGATTAGAAGATATGGAGGGAAAACTTGTAATGCGACCATGGAATGTGATGAATCTAAAGAAGTATTATTTTTTAAGTTATTTATCTACCTCAGTGCTTGCCAACGACAAAGATAAATGGCAAGGCCCTGGGGACAGAGTGCAAAGACTCTTGGCCCCAAAACAAACACAGGAGCAAGCCTCCTGCAAGGGCAAGGCCCTGGGGACGGAGTGCAAAGACTCTCGGCCCCGAAACAAACACAGGAGCAAGCCTCCTGTAAGGGCAAGGCCCTGGGGACGGAGTTCAAAGACTCTCGACCCCGAAACAAACACAGGAGCAAGCCTCCTGCAAGGGCAAGGCCCTAGGGACGGAGTTCAAAGATTCTCGTCCCGAAACAAACACAGGAGCAAGCCTCCTAGGACAGTTTAAGGATTCGTACGAAAGTATATGCAGGAAAGAATTCAGAATCATGAGTCACATTCTATCCAATATTAGACCTTTAAACAGAACTTTATTCAAAAAAAAAAGGGCTTTACGTCCCCAAAAGCTACAAGGGAAAAAAGTACAGATCAAAAAAAAAAAAATTTGAGCAGCTTCGGAAGCAGCCGGAGGGGGGGCGTTCATCTTGCCCCGGGCATCTCCTAAACATCTGCCGATGGCTAATCGGCGAAAAAAGGTTGAGCAGCTTCGGAAGCAGCCGAAGCGGGAGGTATGTCGGCGACAGAAGGATCCTGAGGAATATTATGGTTCGGGTCCCGGTCCGGCAGGGCCTCATCAGACAGATCCACTATTACCGCCTCAGGCAGATCCACCGAAACTTGCACCGGCGTTGGAATCTCGCCCTCGACAGCAATCTCTGTTTCGGCCCGTTCCATCTCCTCCGAGGGCACGTACTTGTGCATCTGAAAGAGCGGAGAGTCTGACGGGATTCCGGCCGACTGGAGCGCCTCGTCCCACCCCCTCTTGAAGAACTCTTTGTTGTTTTCCTCAAGAGCAGGGAGCACGTCATCGGCGAACTCTTCTCGGAGCTGCTCCTCGAACTTCCTATTCAGTGCCTCATCCCTGATTCTGTCCAGCTCCTGGGTCAGTGCCAGACAGCTTTCCTCCGAACCAACAGCCCTCTCCTCTGCCGCAGAGAGCCGCTGCGTCTGTTCTGTTATCCTCCTCTCAGCGTCGGCAACGGCAGCACTTAGCTTTTCAGTGCCGACCTTCGCCAACTCGGCCTCCTTGAGGAGTTGCTCGATTTGAGTAGCCTGCCCCGCGAAGGTGGAATCCCTTGCAGCGACATCCTCCCTAGCACTGGCAAGGGCTCCCTCGGCTTCTTCCTTCTGCTCTCGAACCCGCTAAAGTCCATCCTAGTCCCATGGTACCTTGCCGCTATTATGAAAATCTGCTGGGTGGCCTGCGAATAAAAAAGCATGTCACTAAAAGGAAAACTGGGGCTAAAAGAGATTGAAACAAAGATGAACTTACCACCAAGGAATTTTGGATGATGGAGCGAAACAACACGTTTGTTGATCGCCCCCTGTGAGCCGCCATGTCGGCCTTGAAATGCAGCGTCTCACTCACTGCAT